TTTCACTTGTCCGAAATAAACATTATTTTATTTATTTTTATTTATTTTAAACCAGTCATTAGTGATTGTTATAAATCATTATTTTTTCCCTTAACAGCTTAATTATATAAACAACTTATGCTAAAACTGCACCGCATTGATTCTCACGTCGCGAACATTTTTTTACTACCACCAAAAAAAGCGCTCATTCCTTAACAAGATGCACATACACAAAATTCGCACGGAAGTCTATTCTATTGACAGTAATGTCCAAAAAAAGTTCAAAATATTCATCATGATCCTAACCTGTGGAGAATGACATAAATATTCATAGACAAGAGACACTATTACGCATATCAATCACTATGCAAGTGCTAAAAAGGATCTAATGGCATGCGTAAGCACACCCCGCCATTTTGTCTTGCGCACTGTCATTAGCGCCTTTTTTTATAGGGCAACTCTTTGTGTGGCTTATTCAAATTGGTGACAAAAGAACGTTTTTGTTTATCCGTTAATCTTAGGCATGATGATGTGAAAACGCTTTTGTAAGATGTTATATTATTCTTGGATTTGTTTTTAGGGTTATACTTGTTGTTTTATGGTCTTTCTTGCCGGTTAGTGATAGGATTGTCGTAGTACGTTTCTGTGTGATATGTGATAATACCTGTTTGACCTGACGTAACCTCCAGAAGCAGGTTTAAGTGCCTTCTGTAACGGTTATGGCATAATACCATCATGCCCAAGTAATTACGCCCATTCATTCAAAAAGTCAGTTATTATCTCCTAACTTCCAAATCCAAAATTGGTATTTTTGATTTACAGGAATCACAGCACTATAATATTTTTTCTTTCAAGACCAATGACAATCCCGCCAAAAATAAAGACGCTGTCAAATTATGCGCGCGCACACCATAGAGCAAGAGATAAAGGAGTAATTTTTTTAATACGTTTCGTTTAACCCTTTACCCGTCACACACTAATTACGTTATTGAGAAATTAGTCAATATTTTCGCACGGTGCTAGTTGCACGTGTTTCTTGCGGTAACCGAGTAGGTAATTACGTAGGAAGTTATTTGTTATGCTAATTATTCGTGTTGCTTTTGAGAGAATTAGCTAGATTACCGGTTTGTAGTCGTTTTGTGATTATTAAAATGCTATTTGATATTAATTTGATTCTAGTTTGTTTATTTTAAGATTTATCTCTTAAATAATTAACATTAAGAATCAGCTGTTGCCAACTTTTTTACTTTACTCGAAAATAGATCCTGACATTCAATAAAAGTTTGTAGTTTTGATAAGACTTGACTTTTATTTTTTTATAAGGAGAAATGAAAGTGAAAATAATTATCTTTGACATTTCCATCTAAAAAGGCCAGGCGCGATGAAAAAAAAGCGTACGATAACACCTGTTTTTCTGTGAACTCAGATCTACAGGGGTGTATTCCGAAATATAAAGATATATAATAACTTTCTTTGTTTTTGTTATCAATAAAATAAGGAATCGAATACTATTAAAGGTCAATTTCGAGAACCCTAAGGTGAATATTTTTGCGACTACTTTAGTAGGTAGTCGGGGTTACATAAAAACTACAACAATACCTAACCTAACAATAACTATCTTCTATTAATAATACCCACATCACTGGGCATTAAGACACTGAATGTGATATCTAATTAAGCAATAATTTGTGTTACACTCGACTAGAATTTGAAGCAAAAAATCCAACCCCCATAACTCAGGTCTAAGTACCAGCTTGGCTCACGGCGTGCCCATTCCAACCCACCTTTTCCTCAACTAGTCTCTATTTGCATACTCTTAATGACCAACGATTTGATAAAAATGGCCGGACCCCTACCATTTTAGTATGCAAATTCTCCAACCGCGTAGACTGCCTTGAGTCGTTTTTTTAAAGCAAAATTTCCTCATGCCACAACTAGAATGATTCAATTAAGTGCTACTGCTCTAATTAATTCAAAATAACTGTGCCCATAACACTATCTAGGTTTTTCATCCTAAATAATAGACGTAAATGTAAATGTCATTGTTAATTATGCATCTGCTTCACTTACATTGTAAGCAAATAAGCTAAATATTTCATGGTAATTAATAATAATGGCAGATGCAAAATAGTGAAGAAAATTTCTAGACGACCAAAAAAACAAACAAACAAAAAGGATAATGCGTAATCTTAAAAAAACACTTTCCGTATCTTCTCACGAATGCGTACAGCACGCTAATTAAACAAAGGTGCGCTAACAAACAGGAGTCAAGAAAAAACTTTTTTAGTAATCAGCAAAAAACTCAAGACATCGTGAGAGATGCATAAAATTAACTTGTAATAAATACAAACAGTATGCAAATACCTACGTGACCACTTTTTAAAGAGAAAAAAAGACAAAAGTATTCACTGTGGTCGCAGCTACCCAGAGGCGTGCACAGAGATTTGAAGTAGGGTAGGCAGAAGGTATCACATGATTAAAAAAAATTGGTCTACATTAATCTCGGAAAATAAAACTCCCGAAACATCATAATTTTGAGTAGGTAATTAGGTTTAGTAAGTATTTTATTAATTTGTATAAACAAATTAGGTACATAATTATTTTCAAACTATCCGTGTATAAAGTTGATCAACATAGATACCTAGGCATCTATTTTATAAATCTATTAACTAGGTACCTACTTTGGAGCGGCGAAGTACAAATGGTTACGCGACCATCAAGCTATGTAGCACCAGTATAAACTGACCGTTAAATGTATAGAAAAGTCGTACACAGCGAGATCAAGATGACTGGATTTTAAAAACAATAATGAAATTGGTACACCACCAGTGCTAACAAACTATACCTATAATCGCAAATCGTAGTTTATTAAAAGAAATAATAAAATTATTACCTTTTTTGAGTTACTCCTAGCCCGGACATACGACACACGCAAAATCGCCTTTGGAAATATTTTCGTTTCTTCTTCGAACGACAATAAGGACAACGCACTCATATTGAATTTATTGAACAACACAAATCACCAGCACAGAGCTCACAGCTATAATTTTACATAATTTTCGGTAAATTAACAGTTCATTTAAATTATAATTCATTACATTACTATTTATTCACTTGCACATAAAAACATAACCAAAACAAAATGGCCAAAAAAAACGTAAACAATAAGTTGACCAAAATTAATATACCTATCTATTTTCAAACAAACGCTACGATTTGTTGACTTCCTAAATTAGTCGGATAACGAAGAAGCAGTGCTTTTGCAGTTGTATAGAAATTACCAACCTAACAAAAAAAAAATCCAACATCAGCACGAGAAAACAAGCAAAATGTACCGGCTAGCATTAGTACATGCTTCCGCCACCATCACACAATAGCGAGGTGGCGGCGCCACTGGCGCAATGCTCCAATATCGAAGAAAGTAGAAAGTGGTTGTAGTACTTCAATATTTTTTCGATAGATGGCGTTAGTTGCCACTTTTCCAAATTAAATATCAATAAAATTACGAAATCTCTGTATGATGTCAGTAAATATTCATGTCGTGTTTATGAGTGACACTATGTATTTGACTATGTAGGTTTGCCATGATTTTGTAGGGTATGCAGTGCTTATTTGCATGTATGGTGTGCACGCCACTGCAGCTACCCCTTCGCTAATTCAAAATTTGCATACGACTCCGGCGATTTTTTCACTCAAAAAGATTATGTAAATGTGTTTTTTGGACATCGGATGAGTGAGAAAGACTTTTTTTGCGCTAAAAAAAGTTGCGTCGGCTGAGATAGGGTTAAGTTTGTAAGAAGAAATGAGTTCTCATACTTTACATGCGAACTTTTTTTTGTTTTAAAAAAATGTTTTGATTATGCTTATTGTAATGTTCTTGTCATATTTTTTTATAATAATGCATCGTTTTCAAATTGGTTTCTAAAGAAGTCTATAACGATGCCAAGACATTATTATGTTAAAATTAAAATATTTGAGGAAATTAACGAAATAATTAATCTAATAATTATTTACTCACAGATAGGTATTTATTATTCTCGATTTATAGAATTTTATTAAATCCTATGTAATATAATCCTACAGATAACTCTTATATTAAGAAAGTACTTTAATTAAAATACTTGAAACCTCTCTTAGTTCAATAAGAAGTATTTCATGTGTAAGTAGACAAGCGTATACATAAACTAGGGTAGCGTACACATAGTTCAAATACATATTATAAACTATACAGGACAAATAATTTTTTTTCTATATAATTTTTTGTTATAAACATTTCTACCTGAGTTTCGGGGTGGAGTCTAACAAACCACCCCACAGTTTTTTTATTGCACAAAAACCAATAGTGCACTGGTAGGGGTGGTAACATTTTTTTCATGGCAACCCAGATCGATATTTTTCCCGCTCAAACTTCGCATTGGTTAACCCGTCCCCGTCTGTTAACAAAAGGTTTTATGTGAAACTTATTCATTTATTTTTACTCGTAACGGTCGATCGTTCATTCTTTTCGGTAATAGCAGGGGTTGAATTTAAAAGGGTTATTTTTTATATAGACGCTCTCCTCACGCGATTTCTGTCGGTTCAAATTGTTTGGGGCACGCAAATGATCGAGTTTTATTTTCTAGAACGCTTCGTTTTAATTTTGTTTCCTTGATTCGGGGCTTAGAGACGGAATTGGCGATAATTCTGTAGCAGTTCGATGGTTAGCTTATTTTTTGTTGATATCACTTTGTAAAAAGTTTTGTGTATAGAATAATTCAGATCAAAAATTAAAACTTTCGCAATAAGTATTGAATTTATTTATCTTATCCTTAGGTACTGTCTATCCGAATCCCGTTACACTGATGCATCAGTTTAACTACTACCTATTTTAAAATGAATTAATTGTCCATCAAAACATCCCTTAGTTCTCTTAAAGTCTTGTAGGTTCTCACCGATGACCGTCGACGTTGATGGAGGATTTGTCTTTACAGTCTTCTCTCAGCATTCAAATAATTAAACATAGATCAATATTTTTATTTCAGTGGTCGTGACGTCGGCTCCTGCAAATGAGGCAGAACTACAATTGTACAGGGTGATGCAACGAGCCAGCCTGTTGGCTTACTACGACACCCTGTTGGAGATGGGTGAGTATACCTATAGATTATACAACAATTTTACTACACAATTTGTATTTCTTCCAGCAAAAAAGGGACAAAATTTAATATTGGTTGCTAAAACTAAATAGTTTCGGATAAATATCCGGAAAGACAAACGCGTAATAATAATAATCACTCGTAAGAAAATATTAATGTAATATTTGGTCTGTCTGTAAAAGAAAAGAGGTATTTCTCTTTTGCAACGTAGTCATAAACAAATCTTCCGAAAATTTAGTTAAACTGTTGCGGTAAATTTTCGCAGTAAATCAACTAAAACAAGCTGTTTTACCACGTTGTTTCCACAAGCTATTTAGACACGTGATTGCTTTTCTGTACCTACTGTAATATCTATTCAATGTCTGAGTATTACGTTTGCTTTTATCAACGCAAATTATGACGATAGCCAAAATAATTATGATTAAAAACTATCAATCATATTTTATATTTGTATATGACGCGCATATGATTTAAATGAGATAATATTAATTAAAATAACTTAAATGAATAATCAATAATAATATCGTATCAATAATCTGCTTATTGCTATTATTGTAACGTGTATTCAATAAAACAAAAAACACATGAAATGATAATAACACGGCCCTCTATACTAAACACAAAACACAATATCATAGGAACACAAGAAAAAACACTTTCTCATAACGAAATAAAGAAAAAAATCCGAAAAATAAAAGACACTACAGAATCTCCATATCGGTAAAAAACGCGCGCTCAGCGTCGACATGCAAATTACTTTTTTAATCTTTTACTTTTTAATACCGCCGATTACTCGAGCTAAGGAAGGGTTTGGCCAGTCAGCCTTATCCTTTTGTTTTTTTTTCGGCGCCCCTTTGCAAAATGGTCACGTAGGTATTTGCATATTTGCCTAAATTAAAACTGGGAGTGTGTGTTCGTATTTTTTTACGGTATCTCACGTTTTTGTGTGGAACAATCATAGCGAAATGAACTTGCAGCGCAAGAAAGTCTTGCATATTAATGTTTATGGGACTAATCTATCTGTTTGTAACAATAGTCCAGTTTTTGTCGTCATGTGAATGTAAAGAACTGATTACCGCGGTCGTCTTTTTTGATCTTTGAGAAATAAGTAATTTATTCTTGTACGTACTTTCTTGATTGTAGTCTTGTTTTCTTTTGTTTAATAATGCGTTTTATTAACTATTTCAGGTGGGGATGATGTACAGCAATTGTGTGATGCTGGAGAGGAAGAATTTCTTGAAATAATGGCTTTAGTAGGCATGGCTTCAAAGCCTCTCCACGTCAGACGACTACAAAAAGCCCTTCAGGAATGGGTCAACAATCCTGCCCTTTTCCAAATTCCAATTGTTCCTAACCTCTGTCCAACTGAAAATCCCTTTATACAATGTAACCAAAGACTCCTTAATATGCCCCTTCAATTCCAATGTCTTACCGAGGACGGTGGCGTCTCCTGAAAGTAGTAGACCAATGTACAGCCCGTCTCCTGGTGCTCCTGAGAACAGTTGTGGGTCCACTGCCTCCGCACCTAACGCTAGTCCTGTTCACCAAGTGAATACATTTACAAAGATAGTCTTACCGCCGTCTCCTGCTCCAGCAGCCCCTGTTACGTCAACAGCTTCCAGATCATTTTCCCCACAAAGTGCCTGTCCACCCGCTTCGGCTGGTTCCAGCCCAAGTTCAGTTACATCACCAGTTCAGCTGACGCCAGTACTCTTGGACGTTCACGTGCAGAAGTTGGCCGCAGCTGCTGAGAAGTTGAGCAAACATTTGCCCCAACTGGAACCAAAGCCACAGAATACAAAGAAAAAGATGTGCAAGGATTTAGAACTAGTGATGATGATGCCGGAGTCAGATCCGAGGCGGATGGAGGAAATTAGAAAGTACGCAGCAATTTATGGAAGGTTTGATTGTAAGAGGAAGCCTGAGAAACCATTAACGCTGCACGAGGTTAGTATCTAGATGAATACAAAGAGCAAAAGATATTATTGTTAAATAACATAGTTCGATTTCGGAAAACGAAACGAGTAATTTATTTCTCTCTAATTTCCAGGTAATGGTGAATGAAGCGGCGGCTCAGATATGTCGTTGTGTGCCTGCACTCCTGACAAGGAGGGACGAGCTCTTCCCTCTGGCAAGACAGTTAGTCAGGAGGGCTGGCTTACATTATTCTAAACACGGGTGAGTCAGTCTTTAAAATACCACAGAAGAACTAACCCCTATTTTAAATTTGGCTGAATGTTAGTCTTATATGGAACGTAAAGAACATCTGAAAAATAATCAGTAAATCGTTTTTCTTCTTTTTTTATTAATAGATTAGTTTTATTCCATAAACACTGTAGACTCATCATCACTCTTAATAGATTCTGATCCAATCCCTTTAATTAATGTTAATTGATTAACTTTATGGCTGTATTTACATAAAGTATTAACTTTATTTAAAAATGCTACTGCAATAGTTTATACCTGTATCTTGAGATTTAATATTTTACTACGTAGGTGGATAATTTATTATGGAAACATTATAAATAAAATAACTTATAAATATGTATTCTTAATTAAATTGGTAAATTAAATTAAAAGAATAGATAAACTAAAGGATACGTATATATTTTCACCAGTTACGTGTCTTTATGGCTTATTTACACTTAAGATAAAAACAAAATAATAAGCAGTTAGCACCTAACATAACGTTTTTGACTAAGAGGACGATATTTCAAAATCATTTAACAAAAGAAATTATTAATCTTTATTCTTCTATTTCCAGCCTCCCACCCACAGCGTCAACAGGCGAGGACCGGGAGCGTGACGAGGACGAGACGCCTCCGAAGCGATCGCGGCAGGTCGCGCCCCAAACTGTAGACCTCACCGATTAGAAACTAACACTAATGGACATAGACAGCACGTTAGATACGTGGATTATGGAATCTGTTTAGATTTAGACAGAGTTGATAACTATTAATCATCATTTATTTTCTTACATAATATTTTAAACAACTACAACTTGTTGTTTACAAATGTTCCTTATAAATTATGTATTTTAAATACATAGTATAAAAAAGTGCTTAATTAAATACCAAACGTTTTTGCAAATGTATGTGAAAGTTTACGAAGATATCCTCATTTTCTTTAAAAAAGGTTCCATGGTTCACGTTGGTATAGACTATAACACTTCAAGTGACAAAGACCACTTACTAAATGGAATTATGGGCTTACCCATATTTGCATCCAATAAGAATTTAATAATTCTTAGAATTATTGAATTCTGGACTAACGATTAAATTACTAATAGAAGCGGTAAAGGACCTAATATGCACCCCTGAGGTACGCCTTCGGCATTATGGAAAAGCTATTGTTGATCGTATTATTTTCGGCGAACAATAGCATGCTTCATTTAATTTGGTTCATAAAATATTATATTCTTATTTGCCAATTATATTTTAGTTGCATTTTCATAGTAAAAGGTAAGCATGACTTAATCAAAAGCTTAATCAAAATCTAATAACTTGGTATGCATTGTAGTACATTTTGTTTTAGAATGGTAATGGCAATAACTGTTTCGGTGAGTAGAAATTTAACATTTTATCTTTATTTGCTTGGTTTATTTGGTTTAATACACAAAAAATACTAACATGAATAGTAAGGACCAAAAAAAAGAAACACATAATCGGAAAAAAATGTTATAATTAATAAAAATTATATGTAATTGTATTGTAACTTTTGTGAGACATACTAAATAAATTATTATGTTTTCGGTCTAATCGAAGAAACTAGTCGAGTTCGTCGTCAAATTATTACGTGAGAAAGCCGAAAACACAATAATTTAAATATAATAATAGTTAAATAATAAATATTTCTATTATATCTAGGAAGGCGAGGAAGGAAACGGTATCCGAGCGAGTCCTGATGCAGCCAGAAGTAATTCCAATAGGTAATATCTTAATGGCTATATTCTAATTAGAAATACTCTGCACTATATACAAAAATATTTAGTTCCAACTAGGACACTCTTATTAGAAATATTAAAAAAACCAGTTAGACGAGAGACGTAATCCTATGTTCACTATCGGACGTCTTGTAGCTGAGACGTGATGATGATGATGAGATGGTATTAACCCCAAGATTTCTTTTAAGCACTATGAAGTCAACTAGAAGAAAGCAAACATTATTTGTACTTTTAATAATTTCTTTGTTTCCAGTTGGTGGGGCGTGAAGGCAGAGAGTGACGACGCTGACTCGAGGTGTTCATACTCCAGTACTAGTACTCCACCACCAGTAAGCTCATCATTGATGTTTATACAGCAGATAGACAGGTTTCATTTATGTTAACATATTTTTAAGTATTTGTAAATTGATTTTGATCTGAATTTGGTCATTATATTGTCAGAATAAAGTAGCATCTTTTTCAGTCCCTTTTTAGTCTGTTTTAAGATAATGTTGTCTATTGATATCATCCCAGTCAGATTCTTTTTTTTTATTGCTGTTCCATACGAATTTACTATTTTAAAATCTTATCATGAACTAGCTTAGTAACGCATTAGGTATCTATATATCTTTTTTATAATGTTGGTCATTGGACTTTGCAGTAATTTTACAGTTTACGATTACAATTCTAGATTTGTTCTAATTTTAGGATGCAGACGAGTCTCGTCCACAAGTGGTGGCCGCTCGCGGCGACAGCATCATCGCGGTGGCCAACCCCGCGCTGCACGCACCGCACCCCCCACACGCACCGCATACCCCGCACCCCGCCAGGAACCACTCCAACTGAACATTGCCTTGAAGACATAATGTTACTGCATGGACAATACTGACATAAATAAGAAGATCATCGTGACAATCCATTGCTGGACTTTGGTCCTCTACACAATTACTGTTTCTCTAAAATAAGAAGATCCACTGAACCTGTTTGATGCAGATCAATTAAAAAAAGCTAACACGACAAGATACATACCATTATTAAGGATGAGAGAAAGAGAAGGTGCAGAAAGAAAGAGAACTCCAACTTTAGACTACTATGAAGAAAGTAATTGTGGACGATCAAATATATTTGCCGATGTATGAAGTAGCATACCAAGTTATAGTGCAAGATATACTTGAGAAAAAATCTGTCATTGCGATGTTAAACGCCATCTGAATCAAACAATGGGAATTACTAAGCTTTGATCATCTCTTACAAATCTTAAAGACAATCCTTGTAAAGGATATTTGGAGATTTGAGTGCAGACACCGCACATCAAGCCACTTACTAATTTTAGTAGATTTTCAACCTTAATATTTTACGAATAGAGTTTAAAATCTAATGATAATCGTTGGGGTAGCTTGATATACTGGTCGTTTGTAAATTGTTCTTCAACGGAGAACATAAAGAAAACCTGACACAGAGTGTACAAAATACATTCCACCAAATATGAAACTAATTTATATTGCTATGTAAATATTAGGCTAAGTAATTAAGTGTAAGTAAAGCCATAATATGCCTTGTAGTCATTATTATCTATGAATTGGTTTAAAAAATGGATTGCACCGACGGATCATTATTTTATATTTATTTGAAAAGTATAATGTCTCACGTTAGGATTTTCTCCTGTGTCGTGGTTCCAATAACCATATAAACTTTGCTGTTCTTGTATAAAACACAAATTGCAGTTCGTGCTGGAATCGATACCGGAGTGCCAAGTATCGCCGCTTTGATTGGCCGGCTCTAGTGAACTAACCAGTCAGAGTGGAGAATGTGATCGATACTATTACGTTAGGAATGCGATAGTTATTCGTGCTTGGCACTCTGACCTCTCTGTCACCAAACCACGTAATATTAGGATTTTTTTTAATTTAAAAAATGCGTTGCCCCACTTTAGGATTTTCTCCTGTGTCGTGGGTGCGTTTACAAACATATAAGTTCACATACACATGACACCCAGACCCGAAACAACAATTTATGGATCACACAAAGTGTTGTTCCGCGCGGGAATCCAACCCGCGACACGTTCCACGGCAGCCGTTTGCCGAGCCACCGCACCAACCGTGCAGTCTAATTATAATGACAATCCATGTATTATCCTGACAGCTAAATTACATCTATAACAAATCACGGGAAAATAGTCCTTATTTCCAGGTACAATTAGATATTTTATCACGTGGCATCGTTAAATAAATTGCCTCTCATTATAGGTACATTATATTGTGATCATCAATCAAATGCAATAGAACAATTTACTTTATTATGCATAAAATTGTTGATATTTATGTCTTTAGTGTAAATTCTTCATAACATAACATAATGTCACGCCTTTTATCCCTAAAGGGGTGGGCAGAAGTGCACACATAAGTTACACCCACTTTTCACTATTTATGTTATGAGTCCCATGTAATAGGGGGCGAGCCTATTGCCATATACCGGACACAATTTCAGACTCCGTGCTACTACTGAGATTTAAAAAAAAAACCAGTAGTACTTTGCCCGACCCGGGAATAGAACCCGAGACCCCATGCCCGGCAGTCGCACTTGCGACCACTCGGCCAATAAGGCAGTAATAGGCATGAAGAGTTTACTGCCTTATAGGCCAACTGCCTAGTTGAAATCAGTGTTGAAGTTCTCAAATCTTTGTTTTCATCTTCAATTCATTTCCGTCTATCTGTAGACAAGTAGACATACGTAGGTGTCTACTAGAATAAAATTTTTGTAAAATTTTGTAAAATATCTGACTATTTTAATATCTAAGTAGTTATATAAATGAAACCCGTTTCGTGTTGTCACGCCATAACTTGAGAGTGGCTAGACCGATTTGGCTTGGGCTCGCTGCCATTGCAGCGGTAAGTCCCCTCTTTGAGGAGTGGCTTGAGAGACGCTACGGCGTCCTCACCTACCGCCTGACGCAGGTCCTCACCGGACATGGAAGTTTCGGGAGGTACCTGTGTCTGATGGGGCGGGAGGAAACGCCCGGGTGTCATCACTGCGAGAACCGCCCTGAGGACACGGTGGAACACACAGTGGGAGAATGCCCTGCGTGGGCTGAGCACCGCCGTGCCCTCAGGGAAGTGATCGGCGATGGCGACCTCTCGCGTCCGGGCCTAGTGCAGGCCATGATGCGGAGCGAGGGGGACTGGGATGCCGTCTCCTCCTTTTGCGAAGCAGTCATGCTAGCTAAGGAGGAGGCGGGACGCGTGAGGCAGCGAAGCGCTGCCTCCTCGCAACCCAGCCATCGCGAAGGACACACCGGGCGTCGGGGATCGCGGGACGATCTCCGGCCACCGTAAGCGCGGGCCTGCGGACGGCGAGCATGGGTGGCTCGCCGTCCGCACGTGGTCGGACGGGGCCGACCAGAAACAGACCCGAGCGTACGGCGCGTCGCGTTCCGCGCGCGCCTCAAAGAGCCATCAGACCACCACAGATGGGGCCCAATAGGGCCGATGCCGATTCGGAGTCGCGGAGAACCTAACGGGTAACCGGGGCTCCGGCTCGACGTGCAGGAGAAGGAACGGGGTGGTTTTTAGTCAGTAAGAGTCTGACACTCCCTTCCGCCTCACCCAGACGGGAGCAGTCATTCGATGATTTTCCCCGCTTAAAAAAAAAAAAAAAAAAAAGACCGATTTGGCTGATTTTTTTTTGTTGTGTTTGTTATTGTCAAGAACATTTGAGAAGACAGAACATTTGACAACACAGATTTTGAGAAGGTTCTTATGATAGAAAAAATCCTGAAATTCTAATGGCAATGGGAGAAAACGGGCAGTGTATAAGCACTTAAAATCAAATTGTTTTTGCCGACTTCTACATGATGTAATTCCTGACTGCACCGGACGCGTCGCGACTGACGCTCATTTTAGTGACAGACGGACGTTATTCTTCAACTGCAAATATTATTCATACATGACAAATTTCCTATAAAAAAAATCCGATACCTCTAATGAAAACTTTGATTTTAACAACATAATAATCTCGATTGTCAATCGATAAATATTAATCGTCCCACATGAAACTGTTAAATTATGCAGTAAATGAAGCAATTAATTAATTATGAATTCGAATAATGCATATTTTATTGCGTACCTACACAACAATTAATTTAAATAAAATTAATTATAAATTGTATTGCCATAATAATTTAGTTATCCTTTTGAAGTAAACCCTCATATCAATGAATGAGTTATATGTTTTATACAACTTTCGTGAGATATACTAAATTAATTATTATGTTTTCGGCTCTGTGTTATGAACTCGACTAGTTTCAAGCTATACATGAGGCTTTTTTTAAATGGCATAAGCCGATAAACGGGCAGATGGGTCATCTGATCGGCGTCGCCCATGGACACCGGGAACGAGGGCCTTTTGTGGATTAGGAGTTTGAGGATAGATGGGGATTCAGGGATTGGGGAGATTGGGGAAGGGGAGACTCACACAACGGAACACAACGTAAGCGTTACTTCACGTCGGTTTTCTGTGAGGCCGTGGTATCACTGCGGTCGAGCCGGCCCATTCGTACCGAGGCATGGCTCTCCCAAAATAAAATTCATGAGCAACATTCTGCTACACACGAAAACATAATAGTAAATAAGATAAGCACCAAATAAAAACGATTTCGTCTGTCAATCAAGTCCATAGATGAAGTTTGGCTACATAATATACTTACATAGGTAGATTACAAACCACAAAAAGCATTAAAATTCCACTACATAAAGATACTAAATTATGAACTTTGGTGCAATCCATTCATTACCTCCGTCTTGCAATGTTTTCAAATGTTTTTGTACTATGTTCACGTTTTATGATCCGGCACATTATTGTTTTTATTTAAATTATCCTTGAGTTGTTAGCAACGATATAAAGAATTGTATAATTTGTACTATTCATCAAAAAGATGATTAATGATGAAAAGTATTAGATTTTAATCTGTTAAACAACATTTCTATGTGTAAAGCCTAATATATATATGTAACCTGAGCGTACGGCGCGTCGCATTCCGCGCGCGCCTCAAAGAGCCATCAGACCACCACTAATGGGGCCCATCAGGGCCGATGCCAATTCGGAGTCGCGGAGAACCTAACGAGTAACCTTGACTCCGGCTCGACGTGCAGGAGAAGGAACGGGGTGGTTTTTAGTCAGTAAGAGTCTGACACTCCCTCCCGCCTCACCCAGGTGGGAGCAGTCATTCGATGATTTTCCCCCCTTTAAAAAAGAATATGTATGTATATGATTATTCTGTTGAGTTTTGGAGACAGACTTATATCTTATATGGATGACATTACTCATGCATTTACCCAAATCAGATAAACGATATTAACTGTACAACTGTACATACTGTGCATGTGTGCATATCTATTAAAGACACATTAACTCGTCGAGTACCGGTTTTATAGACACAATTAAAGAACAATAGGTCGCGGTCACCGGTGACCGCTTGGTGTTTGACAGTTTAAAGACAAAAATGTTAATAAAGAAGATCATAAAACATGAACACAATACGAAAACTACAATTTATATCTATATAAATGTGTAAATAATATAAATATAGAATTTAGCGTTAAAGTAAACGACCATTGCGAGCCATAACGTGTTTAAATAGTAAACTAAGGAAAATAAATCATATGTTTATACCACATTGTGTTTGCTTTTATTTGAGTTTTATTGTTTGCACCTACTTTTCTAAAAATAATAGGTAAGATGACGTCATTATCATCATCACTCCGTTCACTATAGGACGAGTGGCTCAGCTTCTACAAATCTTATGTCTCTGACAGTATACATATAGAAATTAAGATGAAAACCTCTGATGG